AGGAAAGAGACAAAGCGTCAGTCTTCGACGAGTTGGGAATGAGAACGGTGGTGGTTGAACAACAGTCTTTATCAATCTGTAACAGGTGAAAAATGAAGACAAAAATGCTTGAAAATATTGTAGCTCAGTGGTTCTCAACCTTTTTGAGGCAAGACCCCCCCCAAAAAAAAATCAGGTTGGCGTTCATAACTCCCCAGTCTGCCCGAGACTGCTCAGTGATTACTGTAATATAACACATGAAAGCTACCAAGCTCACACAGGAGAACCATTGCTTCGCCCACAGACAGAACAACCACTAATTTGATTTGGCTATATTCACAGTCAACAGTCAAAATGTCTGCTTTAGGCCTAAAAGAACAATATTAGATATAAATACATTCTCATATTACTGAGGTAACTGTATAAAAACACAAGTATAGAGTTTTTGAGTCCCTAAAGGATGCAATGCCTTGAGAGCTGCCGCTTCCTCTCTCTAAGTCCATGTTGTTTTACCAAAATATTTTATTTCATCTTATTTTCCACAACCATTTGATGACCCCTGGAATTATCTTGCGAACCCCTTAGGGATCCCAACCTCCAGGTTGAGAACCACTGGTTTAAATGACAACATTAAAGGCAACATTTTTGAACAAAACAGAATGGTCATCTCACAAACTTTCTGTTACCCATAAATTATTAACAGATTAATAAGGACACAACTAATAACCCTTTTTCTAATCTTAGTATTTATTTTTTATTACTGTTTGTGATGTTTTTAAATCACTCATGTTACAAGAAGAAGAGTAAAATAGGCTCAGTTAACCTCTTTGATTATATCTGTACATATACCTGTTAATTATATTGTCCAAAAATAAAGGTCAGGCCTTTAAAGTGATATTACACATTATTCTTAATGACTACCAAAATCTTGGCATTGCTTGCATATGGCCTTGTGTGTGATAGTAATTTGTGGATATAGACAGAATTTACAGTAGCTCAAAGTTACAGTTAGAGAGCAGTCAATCTATGAAAAGCAAGCATGACCAAAAGACTCATAAAGCTGTTGAATATAATCATACAGTATCAGCAGTGTAATTCTGGTAGTGTTGCTGCATTATTCTCTCAAAATCACCAGTGTGGCATTCAGGGTCCATTTTCCTCTTTCAGTGACAGTGGTGTCCATGTGAGCTCTTACAGGCTCGAGCACATAACCCCAAACGTGACAGCGGAAGGCAGACAGCTTAAAAAGCGCTTTTAAAAGCTTGGGAAATTGGAGAAAAAAAGATAAAACATTGCACGATAAAAATCTTTGATAGAAAATATGAGAGTAGTCATAGTGTTGATGTGCTTAATATGTTTATATAAATATAATGCCTCTCTGTTTCATAAAGTCACTGTAATCCTCCCATGATCACTAACTGCTTTATGATGTGGGCGGTATTGTCACAGAGGCGAGGCTGAGTAAAACAGTAATGCTGTAATCCAGCAGGGCTGACTCATCGAGATGTGGATTAGGGCGCTGCATCCTTCAGCATCGAAACAAAGAGCAAGAATAAAATACTCATCAGCAGAAATCCATCAGCAGCAATTGGCCACGTTTAGCTTTTGTTCTTAGATGGGATGCCTGTGTTTTGGGGGACTCGATAATAAACCAGGCGTAGCGAGGAAAACACAGGGGCTTACAGCTTTTATCAGTGTATGAAGGTATAGATGTTTGTGAAAGCTGACGTGAAAAGCAATTCGACATGAAGTTCCCTCGCTTTCCCTCTAAGGAGAACCTTTCCACGTTCTACTATGATTAAATGGATCGTCGGAAGTGCGGCTCATCTAGTTTCCTTTTGGGAGCTTACAAAGAAATCTTCTGTGTGCTTTCTTTGTGACACATCATTACTGCTCGTCTTAAAACGTTCTCACAGGAATACATTGACTTTATCATTGTTATCACAATGATAAAGCAGAGAACACCTTGGGTAGACAGCATCAGTGGTGAGAATAGTGTGTTTGAGGTCAGGAGTGGGTTAGTAGTCAACCCTGACCAATGTCGGTTTTTCATTGTTCAAAGAGTCCAACAGCTTAATAAATGCTGTTTGGTAGCCAGCTACACAAAGCTGGTTATTTTTTAATATTCAAGGGCAACTTTTTAAAATGTTTGCAGTTGGCAACCACACTATTGTTAATATTAGGAAACTAAAACACTTTATTTAGGTTTAACACATTTCCCCCCAGGGATCAATAAATTATTTTTGAATCTGATTCTGCATTCCTTATTTTTTAAGACGATCCAAAAAACTAAATGCTGAATCTGTTACTGTGTTCTGCTACTATTTTTCATGGACGTAGCTAGATTGTTAGCTACCCGTGTAGAAAGAGTATATCCCATTTTTAATTTTACATACAAAGCTCTGAACGGATGATCGTTATCTGTCATTGAGAAAAACATCTAACTTATTTGTATCATTGAACAAATTACAGACCTTTCACAACCCGAACCTCCTTGCTTTCCACCATGCAACATAATGGGCAAACTATTTCCTGGAAAGTGTCATAAAGTTGACACTGAAAGTGAATTATTCCTAGTGTATGTATGTATGTATATATGTATGTGTCTCCTGCACTCAGGATTTGAGGATATGTTATATATGCCATCTTGCCAAATTAGAAGAAGAAAATGTTTCAGATTCACAATCATCATTTTGGTTTCTATGTAGTGGAATGATAAAATAATAGTTTGCTTTCACAGATTCATGTTCATTACATATAAAATAACTCAATAAATTGCAATAAATAATAATGACTGTTCTCTTCTTTAGGCATAGCTGGCAACCCAGTCCTCTTCAATGAAAATGGAGATGCCCCTGGACGCTATGAGATCTACCAATACCAGATCAGAAACCGAACGGCAGAATACAAAATAATTGGCCATTGGACAGATCAACTCCATCTCAACGTGAGCGTTGCCTTCTGTATTCCATGCCCGCACATATCTACTGTACATAAAAGGATTGACAACATTTAGCCTACAAGTGTTATGTTTGTGTTAGCATTTGCAATGAAAATCCCTCTCTGAGAAGTTGTTTTCTCCAGCTCTGCAGCTGCGTGTTTGCTCACTAACTCCTCCCAAACCATTTGATAGTGCTTAGTGCCATCAAAGGTGTAAATATCCAGAGGGTGCTTTAAATGATTAACAGGGCGGACTGTGATGAAAAGAAAGCCTACGAGAGCTTAAGGACAGACATATTTAATATCATCTCTCCAGACGGCATCACTGACTCCCAGAAACAATACTGTGAGCAGGGGATGTGATGACGTATCAGTATTATAACAGTAAATTACATAAAGAACCAAACAAATTATGTTTTGACAAAATGAAGAGGAGGCCTAGGGCAGGCAAAAGAGAGTACAATTGAACACATGAAGCAGCTTGAGAGGAGCTTTGCCTTCTTTACCTCTTTCAACAACGTGCTGTGCAAGAAAAAAGGAGAGAAAAAAAACGAGGTTTGTGGTGGGCACCTACTGTGGAACGTGCCAGTTCTGACTCTAAAGCCGGCTGTATTTAATTAGTGTTCTTTGAGTTCTTAATTAAATGCACATTTAGAGACAAATTTACCACCTTTGAATGAACTGCCACAATTGAATAAAATTGATAACATAACATTAAAGAGAGCAGACCCGTTTGAAATGAGGGAATTAATTTATCTTAACAAGCATGCTTGTAAAAGGGGGAAATCCTAAAACAGAATTTATCTTTCATTTCTCTGATTGTAGACAACTAAGTATTGATTTTTTTTTTTAAACAAACAACTATTAATCAAAGCAAAAAAAAGAAAAACACTGTGTCAGTTCCCTGTAGAGCAAACGATGGGTTTCCCCTTCCCTCTCATGTCTTGCCCTTCAGATAATTTGACCTCCCACTGATAAATTCTGCTGAACCCATGAAGAACACTCTATTTGACCCCATAGTTTGCCCTTTCTAAACCCCCACACACAAATAAATAAATAAAAACCAAGTAGCATGGGAGCATACAGAGTGGTACTACAGGCCAAGTTCAAACTCCCAAACAGCAAGTAACCACCGTGTACACTGTCCTTGACCTCCACGGGTGCTGGAAAACTTGTGGATCAATAAAGCATCACCACCTCTACATGCGACCATTTTACAGGATACAGACAGTTTAGTACAAATCTCTACAAATTCTCTTCTGTCTTTGTCTCTCTCTCTGTGTCAATTCATGTCTGTCTGTGTCCTTCTGCCTCCCTCCCAGGTTCGTTCAATGCAGTGGCCCGGCGGTGTCCGTCAGATCCCTTCCTCAATCTGCAGTCAGCCTTGTCAGCCTGGCGAGCGGAAGAAAATCGTGAAGGGCATCCCTTGCTGTTGGCACTGTGAGCGGTGTGATGGCTATCAGTACCAGGCAGACACCTACACGTGTAAGATGTGTCGCTTTGATTTGCGGCCCAATGAGAATCACACGGGCTGCGTTCCAATCCCCATTGTTAAACTGGAGTGGAGTTCTCCATGGGCAGTCATCCCTGTGCTTATTGCAGTCGTTGGCATCATGGCCACTGTGTTTGTGGTGGTCACATTCATCCGCTACAACGACACTCCCATTGTAAAAGCATCAGGCCGAGAGCTGAGCTATGTGCTGCTAACTGGCATCTTCTTGTGTTATGCCACAACATTCCTGATGATTTCTACTCCTGATGTAGGAATTTGTTCCCTCCGGAGGATCTTTTTGGGTCTGGGCATGAGCATTAGTTATGCTGCCCTGCTCACCAAAACCAATCGTATTTACCGCATCTTTGAGCAGGGCTCCATGTCTGTCAGTGCACCCAGGTTCATTTCTCCAGCCTCCCAGCTAGTCATCACATTTACCCTGGCCTCAGTGCAGCTGCTCGGGGTGTGCATCTGGTTTGGTGTGGATCCCTCCAAGGCCATTATTGACTTTGAAGACCAGAGGACGTCTAACCCGACGATGGCTCGTGGTGTGCTCAAGTGTGACATCTCTGACCTGTCTCTGATCTGCCTGCTGGGCTACAGCATGCTGCTCATGGTGACCTGTACAGTCTACGCCATTAAAACCAGAGGCGTGCCGGAGACCTTCAATGAGGCCAAACCCATTGGTTTTACCATGTACACCACCTGCATTATTTGGCTAGCATTCATCCCAATCTTCTTTGGCACTTCACAGTCCACAGAAAAGGTAAGCTTAATTATTGCTGTACTGTATTATTATGTGATTTCCCCCCCCTTTCTTTCAGCCAGCTTTCTAACTCATGGCAATACTTCAAGGCTTTTAAAAATCTTTGTAGCTTCACTAAAATGTCTTTAATTCCAAATCAAATTAGCTTCCCTTCTTTATTTTTTTCTTGTTCACAAGAACGTTTCAAATATTATTACAAAAACAAAATAATAGTACACATTAGCAGTAGGTAAGTACATCTACTCCAGGGCAGTAATTTTGAGGTAATCGTATTTTCTATTGTGTGCTTCTTTATATTTGTAAATATATATATATAAAACCAAAAAAAACTTGGTTTTATATATATATATATATAAATACATTCATATACTTTTGACTCTAATACATCAACGTCTACAGTGACTAGTTACTTTGAATTATGACAATTTGAATTCCAGGCTTTTACAAGTAATGGAATATTTTGGAAATTGTGGTATTACTACTTTTGAAGTTTTAAGTACCTCTTCCACTACTGCGCACTAGTCAAATGTTTTCTTCAATTATGTTACATTTTTAATGGGGGTAGGGTTAATTGACAGAATGACAATGACAACAGGCATAAACATTCCTAAAAACTCCTTCATGTTCATGACAGGTGTCATGTCAGTCTTATGCACGCCCCTTCAAATAAAGTGGTACCAAATGTGCCACTCTGCCTGTATTTTATTTTATGATGAGCAGCTAAAACTAAAACTAACTAAAAAATGTCATGTAGAAGCTTTATATTTGAAATACACAAAACAACAAAGAATGGACACACTTATGAGTGCATTCTCTAATAACTGCAGGCAGCACGCAAGCGTGTGACTCACATATATGTGACGGCTGTACGTCACAGTGCATTAGAGACCCATGAGCTGTTTACCCAAATACAAGCTCACACTCGTATTCCCATGTCAAATCAATGTGCCTGACCTCATGAACTGTGGACCTGGATCACATCCAGTGGGAGCACTGGGAGGCTACAGGTCAAGAGGGATCCAAAAGGGACATGGAATTGGAGGCTGCGCTTGGAACTCACATTCAGTGGAGACAGTCTGGGTACAAAGCCAAAGGGGTACAACAATGGCACAGTAGAAATGTGTAGATCCAGTTGAAAGAGGTCTTTTGGCAGTGTAACAAAAGCTCAGTGGCTACAAGAGAGGACAGTGGTGAGGGAAAAGCCTCATACTGGCATGGACACTATCAGCGGTGCCAGCATGGGTCTGACAGATGCAACAAATTAATCCTTACCTCCTTCCCTTTGGGATTAAACAAAACAATGCATCAAAATGCTGGCCTGGAAAACTGGCTGTGATAGTTACCTTTGTGGAAAAACGTTCTTGTGCGTGCAATGTGTCACACTCAGCATCCCAAAATAATTTCTATAGTCTACAGCATTGCAGAAAATCTGCATATGACTGCAGCCAATTGAATTACATTATTAATGCAGAATGTGACCAGAACTACAATAACTTATTTTCATGTGCTGCATGTTGTGTTAACACCGCAGAGTCTAAACTACTGTGAATCTGCATATTGGCCTCCTCTTACCCCATAAATCTGCTGGTGTTAACACTAAAACTGAGCAACAGCTTCTACATGTTGAAAACAATGAGAGACCTGCTGAGTTAAACAGATACTACTTGTTATATCTTACATTTACTGAAATATATTCAGGAAAACTATTGAACTAGTATTACTATACGTTCTTGATCATCAGACACAGTAAAGAAAAAGCAGTCCAAGTCCACATTATTTTTTAATGTGAGTGTTGCACATCTTAAGACGCATGTCAACAGCAGCCATGGATATCAGCAAGTTCTTTGTTTAATCATTCCATCTCCTCTCTCTGAAGATGAAAGAGAATTATACAATCACAGAGAGATTGAACAGCTTTTTTGGAGGATGAGGTAATCCATTAGCTAGCATGGCTTTGAATAGTAAAATAGAAGTTAAAGAAAATCTTTGAAGGGTAAATTAAGTCCTACTTTTTGTTTCTTCGTCTTCCATACCTCAGATGAATTTAATTTACAAACCCTGAAAAACTTCTCTCACCCATAAGAAATTCAAGTTTCTTGCTCCAAATATATGTTAGTCACTCATTAATTATTATTTCCTGTGGACAAATGCGCACACAATGGCTGGGAGATTGCTCCACTTCTATCATTTGGAAAACTTCTACCATTGCCTTGAGCTTTGTTAAGGTACGACATGAAATGGAACACAAAATGGAAATCTTGCTTTAGGGAAATGTCCTACATTTTGTCTTTCCTCATTTGAGAGAGAATAATCATATTTAATATATAACGAAAATGGCTTTTGAACATTGAGTTGTAAAAACTTAATTTAACTTACACTCTAATATAGTTTAGCCTAGTCAGACCATACAGGGCAGAGATTAGGAAGGAACTAACAAATAATGTCATCCTTGCCAAAGGAGTGTCAGTATATATCTTTTGTATGAAGGGCTTTTACTGCCTAACAATAAAGCAAACAGTTTTGCTGTGCTAGGCTTCATGTAAAAAACAAAAAACAAACCCTGTGACTGATTCTCTGAGCTGTTACATAAACAATGTTCTTATTTAAGGAATTAACATGTCAAAGCAAACACACCTTATAATCATCGTACTGTAAATGACAGGCCCCACAAAGCCTCACAGCCCACGTTGACATGTCTTTCAGAGCAATTAAATGCTCCACTTCCTCCGGGTCTTGATTTACCTTATCTAGCCGCCTATGTGCTCATCACGAGTGTACAGTGGGCCTCTGCCTCAGCATTACAAGCACAGTCATTTATTTGTCATCTGGTGCCAGGATAAATGTAACAAATACCATGGGAGGCTTTCTCTATCATTCAAACAGGGACATCTGGTCTATCTATGGAGCGTGATCACCAAGCTTTATGCTAGCTTCAGGAATAGAAGTGACACCTGCTTACCTGGAGAAACAGTCTAAATCAGCGGCTGCCTCAAAGACAGAGGCAGGAGGAGAGGCGTCAAACAATAGCATGCATGAGAATGACGCTTCAGCACAATAGGCTCAGTTCAAATTCAATCAACCCACACAAAGAGGTCCTGCTATTACAGTACATGAATGGACTGATGAATTGAGTGGTGTTGTTTATTTCTCTATGAAGTCTCCATCACACTATTGGCACTGCCAACTCGACGACAAAAAAAAACTGCTGTTAGTGCACTAGTCAGACAAAGAGTGGGAGTTGCAGTGAGTTCAACGAGACCAGATGTCAAACAGGAGTGTGCTCATGACTGTGTCGATTCTGTGTTCTTCCCTTCTACCTGTTACCACCCCCCCGGTCCTTTTCAGTTCTCTCTTTGTCTCTTTTCAGTACAAAGATAAACAGGAGTATTCACAATAATGTCCCACAAGCCCAGTAATACATAATGGAGACTGATGCTACAGAGCAGAGGGAGCTGAGCATCATCTTGGACTTCAGAGAGCAGTCGTTGCATTCATTAGGCCTACAGCACAGCAGTCATCTGGGTCTTGGCTATTGACCTCTGGGTGCTCTAATAATGGGTGAACAGGCCCTAAAGCTAATCAAGGCCAAAGAATTGTGATCTTTATAAATTGCATTCTCCCATGAAGCTATATTATTGTGTCCCCTAAGGCTTCTATTTGTTTATTAGCTCAATTACAGTGCAATTATATTGAATTCTCATGCAGCAAGACCCTCTGCATAACGTTTCCATAGCATGCTGAGAAATAATGCAGAAGCTTACTGTAGAGTGGAAATTGTGTAGTTTAAAATGTTTTTGATAGTTTGCATCCTGAAGCAGAAGCACTCTAGAGTCCCTGGTTGAAAATAGAATCTATTTTATGTTTTATCTATTTATTAGCCATCAAATTAATCTTATGTTATCAGTTATCACAGATGTTATCACTCAGTTGTGTGCGACGCTCTCTGTAGGCAGCAATGTGGGTTGTTTTTAACTTCTCTCACCATATACATACTGATAGATTGTTTTCCTCACATCTAGTTTAGTCATTAATGCTGCCATACCCTGCCTCTTCTATGTTATGTTTTGCCTCAGGCAAGATCTACTAATGGCAATGTGATGATAGGTGTGTGTGAGATATACAGCAACTCGCTTTTATGAGCTCCGGTCTGTGCATGCTCAGGTGCACTGCAATCAGGAGGAAGCAAATTAATGGATTGAACACTATGTTTCAATGTATATATTGAAGTATTTTTATTAAATATCTCAATACTACTTTCAGCTCTATCTCCAAGCCCTATTTTAAATGATGGTTATTTAACTGACCGCAAGGATGGCTTTGAAGATAGCTATTTTTGGTTGAAAGGCACAAGTTTTTTTTTTCTGTTCATGTGAGTAACAGCTTGAGTTCAACAGTCTGTCCCTGAGGCAGCAGTGAACCAAGCCCAGAGCAGTTCACTGGTTAACACTCCCTACAGCTGGAAGGGGACCACTGCAGCTGTCCCTCTCTCATACAGCCTTCATTCTTCCATTGTTCTCTCCAGCCAGCAGTCCCACATGGTACCCGGACTGGCTGAGATGAGATGCAGTCAGTCTGGGGGTAAGCACCGTGGAGAGTCACAAATAATAAAAACAAACAAGATATTCAAGCTGGGGTCACATCTGGGGAGCTAAATGTTACTCTGCTTTGATGAAAAACCAGCATGGATCTACTGAGGGTCACTCAGTAGCTGATGAAAACTCTCCCAGTCAACAGGAAGAGATAGTACTCCAAAGGTGGAATCATATCAAATATTTATAGTTTAAGGTACAAAGCATATGAATGAGAGCCTGTTCCAGTAGAGTGTTATATCATGGCCCCAGAAAATGTTTGATCTGCTAGCGAAGGGTAATATCCTATATTGGAATACTCAAAAGTCAGTCAACAGTAGTTTAATTATAGTTGTAAATCAGTTTTCATAGCAGCCTAAGAACAGTAATTAATTTTTTTTCAATTCTGCAGCCACTCTTCTCCACTGAGATTCCAATCGCTCTCGCCCACAGCAGTGTTTTATATTGAAAATCTTCCTGTCTCATCCTACAGAGAACCTTATAGATTTTTTTAAATATAAAGAAATATTTCTGTTACTCAACTGCTTAGTAAACCACCTTCCTCATTAAATGCAACTGTAATAGTTTGTTTGTTTCCCATAGCAGCAGATACATACCACATGCTGGAAAGTCAGGTTTTAGACTAGGCTGGATTTGTTTGCTTGCTGATCACATTTGGATTAGGGGTGGCAATTTTTTAAAATGTTTTTGACATTTGAGGGAGGCAGCAAGCAAGAAAGACAAACTATATTGAAACTTTATCTATTTCCATACTTGGATGATAATTGTGCTGTTTACTGGAAGACAATGCATTTATCTGCATGGGAAAACCCAATAATAACAGCCTTTCATATTCTCATATAAGAGTTATTTTCCTGAGATGATGATACTGACTCTGCCAGCTCTGGCCCATGTTAGAGTAAATATAATGTAACCTGCAACATTGTGTCGCAGCTCTCCTAAATGGACTGTGAAAAGGGAACACATGACAGGAAGTTGAGGCCTCTGCCTCAAACATTAATGTCACATACAGTTGTAGTAATAGATATCTGGCTGTACATTATCAATTTCTTATGAGATGGTGAGCACACAGGGACCTACTATACAGTATTTCTCAAATCCCAGGCAGTGTGCCAGTACCGGCCCACAGAACACTTGCTATCAGATATTAGTCTGATAGATTTTTATCTCCAACAGTGGTTGTTAAACACCGAAGACAACAACTAAGAGAGCCCCAAGTGGCAGAAATTCAACACTGTACATTTAAGCTACTCAATCTGCATTTGCCGTGATCCTATTGCTGCATTCACGCATTGTTGGCAAACCTCCCATTATTCCCAGGTTGTTGACATTTCGCTACTTCTTTTCAGTGAAAGAAGAAGTAGAATTGAAAAATATCGTATTTTCAAGGCGAAGATGTATTCTTCCCACTTGCCAGCTCATAAGTACAGTCTGAACGATGTAGTGTGAATGCAGCATACAGCATACATATGAGAGAACTAGAGTTTCTCAGAGGTGGTAGTGCAGCCTATTGTGTGTTTTATTATCCGTAAGTTTTCTTTGGTTGTTTCCCCTAATAACACCTGACCTCCTCAGTCAGTCTACAAAAGGTAGGGACTTCCTGCTGTTGAAAATGCCATAATGTTTGGATGCATTCAACTCTGTAGTATCATTAAATTGTAACTTCTATTACACAACGTACAAGTTAATTTCTCTCAGCTGGCCAGTCAAGCATTCACAACATAGTACGATGTACAGAAATTATACAAGCTTTGCTTCTTTAATGCTTCCCTGAAGATGACTCATTAATTTGCTGCAGCTTTGGAAACAATTAAACTAGAATGAGTGAGACTGATACTCAGAGTTGCCCTCCCCCATGATTCAGAGGATTTGACCATGTGTAAAATTTTCACGAGCTTGTTTCATTTTTACGGCCCTGCTTGTTAGGAGTCAGAATAGGATCCAATCGACTGGTGTTATCAAATCTGTGTTCAGATTGAAGTGATGGCCATATTAAAACTAGCATGGCTGAAAATTAAACAAACAAGGTGGCCTTGGCTGGATTGGCAGATGCGCCATAAAAGCAAATGAGATGCTGATTTAAAACAAGTTTTATAACATCACTTGCATTAAATAGTTTTGAAGCCTCTATTGGACACAGTAGAAACTACTTCAACAACAGCTTGGCCAACAAACGGGTCATTGGATGCTCTAATTACAATGATACACAGCAGATGTCACTTGTACTGTACAGGCCACTGCCCATATAGAAATTCTGCACAGTTCAGTTCCAAACAAAGGGCTAAACTGTTTGCATGTTTGGTGTTTGCCTCTTGCAGATGTACATCCAAACAACCACTCTGACCATCTCTGTGAGCTTGAGTGCATCAGTGTCCCTCGGGTTACTCTACATGCCGAAGGTCTACGTGGTTCTCTTCCACCCTGAGCAGAATGTGCCTAAGCGCACACGCAGCCTCAAGGCCGTGGTTACCGCTGCCACCATGTCCAACAAGTTCAACCCCAAGGCCGGACTCAGACCCAACGGAGAGGCCAAAACTGAGCTGTGTGAAAGCCTCGAAACACAAAGTAAGTACACAAATGCTAATGAGGAAGTAGCTGACTTAAAAATCCAGTTTTTTTTTTTTTTTTCTGGCATGTTTTGTCCTTCAGTGTCTGTAAATCAAACACACTGATGCAGGCATCGGAAGCAGAGTAAAAAATAATTACTTATTAACAGATGTGTAGCATGTTATTTACCACTTCACTGAATCTAGTAAATGTGCCACTGTTCATTTGGATGGGGGTGTATTGTTTGCGAGTCAGAAGGAACCATTACAGGATTCTCAATCCTGTGTGTGGGGGGCATGAACTCATAAAGGAATGGATTACAGATGTCAACACAGAACATATTCTGTACTTCAACAATGCAATTCTACTTCAGTAAGAGCTTGAAATATGGCAAGTGGAAATGTAGATTTCTTTCTCCACTATCATTTTCTTTCAATGTCCATAAATCAGAATTTTATCATTATATTGAATTTAGTCGCTACACATGAAATCCAACATTTTGGCAAGTTCCACATGCAAACATGTACCTTTTCTCTTTGACTATTGTTCTCTCTATTTACACCCAAGCCCTGTAACATATAGTTGATTAATTGACAATGGACAGAAAGCCAGCAATGTTAGTAATTGAATACTTGTTTAAGTCAAAGGTCTCAAACCTGAATAACAAGGTAGTAATTTCCCAAAGCTTAAGATAATTCAAATACCTTGTCTCTATTTGAAATCAAAACGCCAAATATATTCAGTTCACTATTGTATAGTAGGACAAAGAAAATAAAGCATATTTGGCAGTTTTGCTTGAAAAATGGCAAAAACTATAAATTATCACAGTATTTGCCCTTTTTTGGGTTGATAACCTAATCAATCAACAAATTTCTATGCTAGAAAATCAATTACTCTAAGTTCAAGGCTGTAGAAAAAATCTAATGTAAAAAAAAAATATTTCTGATTTGCAGTCTAGATAAATGACTTTGCTCAGTTCAGATTATCAAATGTTCATCATGATTACTGTGGGAATGATTATTTTTGAATCACAAATTTAATTGAATTTGATAAAACTTTTAAAATCGTGATAATAAAACATGTGTTGAGGTTTGTACCAAACAAATATGTTTTGTAGGTCAGGACATCAATTTCTCACTATAGTACTCTATTATAACGCTGTTCTGTCACACATTTTACCTTTATCAAAAAATTGCAGCTTCTGCGATTTGGATATTGCATTTGGCCATATTGCAAAAACCATAATATCTTGATTAATTATGCAGCTCTTCTATAGATAAACAATTAATTTAAATTACAATCGAGATAATCAAGCTTAAACACACTGTAAATAATCAAGAGGCATGTGACTTTCCTTTCTCAGGCAGCTGAAGCTCCCAGCAGGTGCCTCCTCCTAATCTCAATAGCAATAAAAGTGTCTGGCTCTACTGTATCAGTAACAAACCCTGGATTTATACAAGTGAAGTAAATAATGACTTCAGCAATTGAGTCAGCAGAAATTACTCATGTGATGTCCCAAATGCTCTTCCTCGGTTTGCCTCGGGCAGGAAAAGGCTTTAATCGGTCACGTCTGTCACCAGAGATACATTCCCTCTGTCTGGCCTGTACTAACAAGGAATCAAAGCTATTGTCACACATTTTAAAGCTGTATTTACTCTTTACTTTTCATACTAACAGTAGTGAGAAATGTTTCCATTCATGGCAAAATAAAAGAGCTGACATTGTATTTACTGTTTACACAGAAAATTTAAATCAATATAAACTGTGTGACAATGAATTGTAGTAACAATGGCACACAGCAGTGAGGCCCATCAAAATAGCTACACGTAAACACACAGTGCAACATTAATTCCTATCTTACTTTAAGTTTCTGTGGAGGGTTAATAGGGCCTTTTGTTACAATAAGTGGCGAGAAGGCACAGACGCAGAATTGATAGCCAGCAACTATTTATCCTGATGGGGTTACCGTTTACAGGGTCCGTACAGTGCATGGCTATTTGAATAAGCACCATTTGTCATTGTCATCGCCACTGTGGATATATGGCTTGATGAAATTGAAAAATTCCTGTCTGGGCCAGCTCCCACAACTGCTGAGATCTGGTGGCGATATGTCAGGATTTATCTGCTCCACCTCAGCGAATCAGCTAACACAGTCTGGGGAGACAACTGAAAAGTTGAGGCCTGATAGCTGAAGGAAAAAAGAGGTGGTGGGGTAGGCAGGCGGCTTTACTGAAACCCCCATCTGTTACAGACATGTATTAAAGGCAAAAATATAGGCGATATAGGAGAGTTTAGGAATTTGTGGTAATTATTGGCATATATGCTACACTGCAGCACAAGGGCTAAAAAGCAACTGAACATTTACTTTCAGCGATTATTTGACACTTACACTGGAAAACATGAACAAACAATGCCCTTGTCTTCTTCATCTCATATGTTACAATAGTTCACCTTAACTCTAGTGACTCTAATCTCCACTCTCATTCTTCTCTTTCAGCTTTCCCAACAAAGCAAACCTACATCAGCTACAGCAACCATGCAATCTAAGGGACAAAGGTTCTCATCCCAATTCAGGATTTCCACCCAGATGGAGAAAAAACATGCAGTGGAATTTCACACAGCTGGGAAAAAAATAAAAATGGATACAAATTTTTTTGGGTGGAGATCACGGAAGCATTGCCCAAAGACGTTACATGGTGAGGAGATACCACAGGGACATACGAAACGGGACCAGAACAGATACCAGTACAGTTGTAAGGTTCCATCTTCTGTCTGCCTCAAACAATACAAACAAAAAAAGAAAAATGAAAAATACTTGCATGGCAGAGGCCTGGAGATTGAAGGATGGAGCTTTCCTTTTGAGTGTTTACATTTCAGCTATGCCCTCTTTCAAAGACTTCTCTGTCATCTTGAGCAACGCTGACTGGGACTGAACTAAACTCAAGAATATGTTCAGGTGTTCTCAATGTTGTCTGCCAGTTTTGCAAACTATAATTAATCTTAAAACCCTCAAGGCATCACAAGGGATTAATCAACACCAAAAAGGCATGAAAACATGGTCCATGGATTTCTAAGAGAGACTTGTGTTTGTTTTTATTTCTAAATGTATTCCGGTCTCATGAGTCAAAGGACTGGAAATAGTGATCATCTCAACAATGCAACAAATCTGTCTCAGACTCCATTTTTTTTTCTTCCAGGTTTCCACTGAGTTAATGAGAATGACTAGACATGTAAGATGGTCTCTGCCGATTTTGAGCATGCCAGTTTCAACATCCTGTGTTGTGTTGTTAAAAAAAAAAATATGAAAAAGAAAAAATATTATATTTGGAATGCGTTTAAACTCTGTTGCAGCGTTGTTAACAATTGTTTGGGCCCGAGCCTATTGTGCGTTAAAAAATGTTCTCAAATGGTGAAGGTCTAGTGAGTGATTATTTATCTGTGCTTAAGTGAGGCCATGATTTGTATTACCAGCTAGCCTAAGGCTGCCACTGCCCTCCGCATACCTGTATGTGCTTTGAAACAGTGGCTCGTGGCTAAAATAAACATTATTTTAGCCAGGAGATCTCACTGTCATCCAGGGTGACCCCCTCATCACTGCCACCAGCTATTCTCTTGGTCACACGTAGTGTAAGGGTAAAGCTTAGCTGTACAGATCCATTAGGAAGGGAATTAAGATGAAGTATGCCCTTGAGAGGATTGTGCAATATACCCAAAAGGTGATATCCATAATGGACCAGCTACTGAGAAAATTCATTACTATACATGTCCTCCTCAGGCACTCTCATGATAAGAAGGAGGTGTCAGGAAGTTGTAAGGCTTTTCAACAAATGAAAATCTAATTGCAAAAGTATACAATATCTCTATCAATCACCCAGAGCTCGCTGAACAGATTAATAGTTGGCTTCGTGCAGTATAAAAGCCCTCTAATGTCTTGGGGAAAAACATTGTGGGGTCATTTGTGTTGTGAATTCAATGCTGCTTTTCATGCCTCCCTCTGTATTACTTTCAACACCATTTGTGTTGCAGAATAAAATGTGAGTGCTGACCAAATTAAATGGCAAGTTAATGTATGTTATTAAATAGATTGATGATGTCTGCTTTATGTCCTGACATATCCTAAAATTGGGGAAAATGTACAAAAAGAAACAGTGCCTGGCTATCTGACTATGTATTTGTAAAACCTCATGAAAACTAATGAGATGTGTGAAGCATGTTAAGTTTTTTTTATACAAAATTTTATTTCTATTAAAAATGTTTTCAAACTTCAACATCCATTTTCAGATTTGTGTGATTTGGAAATGTACTAATTTGACCCTTAGCTTTAAAATAAAACCTTATAAACATTATCATAAAAAAAAACAGGATGGTAAATTAGCAAACTTAGATTATCTTCAGCTAAATGATTGGCAGTGCTTCTTTGTGAGTGTGTTTTATTCCTGTTGTAAACTAATAATACCGATTAAAAACAAGTTTGTCAGCCCTGGAGAAAAAAGACAATGGCTGCCATCCTCTGAATAATATGTTGCCACAATTGCTCTGATAATAACACTGGAAGGACAGAGAATTGTGGAGAGAAACATGAAATTATTTTAAATGAATGGTTAGCCGCTACTTGAATCCAAGGCCTCTGCATGCAGCGAGCTCTCAGGATCTATCATCTTCTCCTCCCTGATACTGCAAGCACACTATACAAAAGGCTTGGAAAATAACAGTTGTTGCATAGCAAGTGTGCTAAATGCACGCCCAAGTACCAGATTACTGCAATATGCAGAGCACAGTATATCATCTTCATGCGGCAGAGACAGAATGAGGTGTCTGCAATGTTTAGTCTCATGAGACCACAAGGTTTTTGCATGACAGACACTCTTGATTGTTTTTTTCCCCTATTTTCTTTGAACAAATGTATAAATATATCATACTACTCTGGCAGGAACAATAAAGAGCACATATTATTAAAAACTGATATAGCCATTTAGGTAAATTATGTAAATTATGTAGGCCTAAGCATTTAAAGTATGTTATTAGAATCACAATCAGTAAAATAGGTAGCCTCTGTATCTTATTTAAATTTTCATGCTACAAACAGTATTGAGGATTCATTATGAAGCCACATGAATGCACCGTTCTGGCAGACATTTCAGTTCATCTTTTAACTGCACTACCACACGTTGATATGAAGAAATAATTAATACAAAAAACAGACACAAGCAAAGACTTTTTGGCTGGCTGCCAAATAAACTGCCAAATATGGGAGACACTGCAAGACGCTGATGTGGTGATACTAACTAAATAAGTCAGTAAATCAATACATTATTAATAAATAATACTTGGCTAAGGCCAACACAAGCTGCAAATAACTTCTATGCTGTTACTCGAGACCTACAAACTGCAAAATTCTGATGTTTTTGGTGATTGTTGGGACCCAAAAATGATTCATTCTCTGAAAGACATCCAAGAACAAAGTCAATAAGTCATTATCTCTTACATCTACTACAAAAAAATCATATACCGTATGCAGCTTAAAAATATATGCTCTGTAAATGATAATAAATTCAAGACAATTCATCACTATAACCTAAACTCACTAGAAAGGCTTGAATTTACCAATGGGCAATGCAGATGGAACATCTATAACATAAACATTAGGGCTGACACCTTCTGGTCAATTGGTTAGTCGATACGTTCTTGTCCGATCAGATTCTTAATGGATGGATAATGGTTGCTACTACTTTCATAAAGAGAAAAGCGCTATTTAATCGCTAAAATTAATTTTTGGGGGGGGCGGGAAGGACATATGCAGATCTGATGTGTTGTATCTTTGAGTGTTACGCTATATCGTTATAACATTAATTGTATATGATAATAATATTCAAATATATTTCCCCTTAACAAATTTGGTTTTATTTTTGACTTCCTGACTTTGACAGGAAGTCAAAACAACCCTGTTTATACAACTTCAACTGTCAGCCTGGAGACTGCTTAGCTGACTAACATTATTCAGCTACAAACTAATTAACACAATGTCAAATATCCAGCAAAAATCACTACATCGGCCCCCAGCCTCAGTGGACAGAAGAGATGAGTGGGTAAAACTTATTTTTGATGGCAATAACTAAATAAAGTAAATAAAAAAATAATAGTAGTGGGTTGGATGCAACAGTAAATCAGTTTTTTAATGTTGCTTTTGCCTGAGCTGCTTCGCTTTATGCTTTGTTGTACGGACGCGTTTTTTTCTCTGCGATCCTCCAACCAAGATTTTCTTTTGTTGACTACAACCCTAGAGTTTTTATTCAACAGTAGAAAACACAGGGGGAACAGATTATAATGAATCAGTAGAAATGTACAGTACTGTACGTACTGCTCATAACAAATAACGTGGTGAGCATAAATCCAGGTATCAATTCATGACATATCAACTTCTTTTGCTGTTTTTTTTTTAAAATGTATTGTATATTTAACACAGCAAGCAATCTTATGCAATCTAAACACACATAAAAGGTTTTTGTTCCTCAATGGAGAGAGGGTTCGCCCATTTCTTTGTTTTGCATGCACTTGCATAAGGCAACTGTTGGTGGTTACATGTTGTTAAATGTAGTAATCAGGCTTGGGGAGTAACAGATTACATGTAACTAAATTACGTAATCAGGATACAAAAAAAGGTAACTGTAATCCAGGACAGTTACAGAAAAAAGACATAATCAGATTACCATTACATTTAGTAAAAACTGGGATTATTTAGCAGCATTACAATTTTAAAATACACCAGTTTTTCTTTTATATGTATAAAAATACACTGAGCAGAGGACACACTGTTGATGCTAGAAATCTTTCATTTCTTCTGTTTCCATTTTCTTTTTTGTTCTGTTGTCTTAAATACACTTGCATCAATACTTCTTATTGATATTATCTCTATCTTATCTCTTGTTTTTATTTGCATATTTGGTGGAAATTCAGAAGTAACGGAAAGTAATCAAGTTACCTTATTTTAATATTGTGATACTTACAAAAAAATATACTTACTACATTTTTTAACAGGTAATAAGTAAAAGTATCAGATTAAATTTTTAAAGTAACCCTCCCGACAATGGTAAAAATGTAGCAACAAAGTCAAGGAAGAACAACACTGCTAGTTAGCAAATACAGATGAAACAGATGTTTCAAATGAGGAAGGAAATGCATTCAACAAATGTATTAGACCTCAAAGATACACACTGCCTTTGGGAGAGAAACAATAAAGATGGATGGAGGGATCCTATAACATGTAACTATTAAATGAATTAATAAAGAATAACAGGAGAAAAAAAAAACCTTTTCTGAAATTACTTTTTGAAATTATGGCTCCACTAGAATTCTTGCTGTGCACATCAAATCCAGTCACCGCAGACAGTTTCTATAACTAAGGACTTCCCTCCCGACTGTGGAGAAGACAGGTGAGTATGTATTTTTTTCTCCCAACAGCTGGCCTCTCCTTACTTCAATGCATCCGAGTCTGAAAGCCAGCAATTTTCAATAAACTTAGAAGAATATTTAGGACAACTTGAGATGTTGTTCAGCAGCGTAATGCCAAAGTGTATTCAGAAACAAATT